TAAACTGTGAAGTGTCCATTTGATATAGTCATTGTATATAGATCAATCCTCCATAAATAATTCATAATTAGAGTCAGGTAAGATCCGTTAACCTCTCTAATTATATCTGCATCTTTGAGTACCATTGATTCTCTAATGAATAATGATTCATAAAACACATTCATGAACCAGGGCGCTCTTACTAATCCAAGTACCGAATCAACACTCAAGATAATTATTTATCTACTTCTTTCTCAAGAAGGAATGGATTCCATCTCGTATAATAACATTCCCGGCTACCTATTTCATCATGTCTCCAAAATACAAGGAATAGGATTCAGGGTCTCGGAATCTGTACCGAGTAAATCAAAAGACATAAATCCATAAATAGGAGTTTGTTAAGAACTCAGGATTAAGATCATTCTATATATGACCATCGGTAGACTCAATTAGAATTTCTATGCTTAACAGAAATTATTAGAAATTTATATTGTGTCTGTGTCCCTGTTCCACACAATCTCATTATACGAAATACACGCATTCAATATCTCACCATATTAACAGTGCGGATAGCACCGTTCCATTCTATATGGGAATGACATGTATTAATAATGTTTTAATTAAAGATTCCGAACTTTAATTAAATTCATTATGAACAATGTTTTTGATTATTATCCTTAAACACTATCCTCTCGTATATAACACTTATATACTATGTTTAAGGTTACATAAATAATCACGAAATTTTCATTTGATACTCATAAAATATTCATAAATATATGCACATAAAATGATGAATAAACTCTTTTATTAATTAAATAATAAATATCCTATTACATCTTATGCTTCTAGGACACTATTCCCAACATTTGAGGCTACAGTTTTTTTTTGTTTACTGCATGTTCAACCTCCTCCATGTGGTTTTGGTTTTTATGGGGGTTTTGAGTGAAATTGATGTTTGAAAGCCAAAGAGAATGAAATTTGGAGCAAAACCCATCTAAGAACGTCAAAAATGGACCACCGGAGCTCAATTTTCCGGTGGGTCAGGTCGCGGATCCGATCGGATCTTTTCTGCAGAAATCAGAGCTCAGGGAAGCTCCAAACGACAGTTTCATCCTTGCGAAAAATGACATGTCATATGCAACATTTAACAGCGGTTGTCGTATTGGTGAAATGACATGTCGTTTCCTATAAGCCCAAAATGACATGTCGTTTTTGGGGACCAAAAAAAAAAAGTTTACCGAACTTTGACCGGTCTGTACGAACACATCTGAAGTCCGTTTTGACCGCCGTTGCGCTCCATTTTTCATTTCCTACCCAATTAATGATTTATTTTGGGTTTGGGCCACCATATAATCATGTTTTAATATTTTTATATTATTGATTGTATATTTTTATGGGTGGCTAATTCTCACAATTTTCAAACAAATTTTTTCTGGGCATTTCGTATACAATTTGTTTGATGATTGACACTATAAAATTTATATTATGTTGTTATTATTATATGGCATATTTAATTGTGAGAATTCGACAATAGTGAATGTTTATGTACTCGCTTGTCGTGAGTCTAAACATGTCAAATTATCTGCGTATGTTACGAAGCTCTCCCACAAAATTTAACATTTTCTTTTGAAAAAGGACATTGGGATATACACACTCTTTACATGGATGCACATGAGCTA